GGGTCTATCGGTCCAGACCAATGCTCCAGTCTTTGGCAAGACGTCCCTGCTCTTACGACAAAACAGTTCTCCTTTTCCATCAGGATCAATGGGGTTTGCATTGTCATGGTGTTTTTCTGACATGTTTATTATATCCAGTTGTTTCTCTTGCTCCTTATCATTTTTGTTCTGCCATGCTAAGCTCATTTTGATCACTAATATTTTGTCCCAATTGATAAATGCTTGCCTTCTTTCAGAGCTGTCGATTTGCCCATTGCTTACATCTTGATGGGGATATGCAGCAATCTTCGGCATTTTTACGTCTGTTCTTGTTTTTTTCCTAGAACGTTTGGTATGGTGACCTTCGCACTTATCTCTCATACATTCCTCACTGTCTTACACATAACAAGGTTGATTTCTTTGCTACAGAGAAGCAATGTGCACATTTAAACAAGGAAATAAAATATATATTTTTTTAAAAAGTCACCCTTTTCACTTATTTCACAATACTAATTTTAAAACAAAAACAAAATTATCTGTGCCTTAGAATCAACTTTAGACACAATATTCTGGCTGGTGCACCTTTACAATAAAGGTAAGGTAAAAGGTCCTTTCTGCTTTCAGAAAGGGTGGCTGGCAAAGTACACTAAGTCACATTACTTAGCATAAAGCTACATTTTAGCTACATGGCTATAATAGTACAGGTTGAACCTCCCTGATCTGGCACCCTCTGGACCTGACTGGTGTAGAACTAGAGAATTTGCCATACCAGGGGAGACCAATGTTGTTTAGCAGCTTACTAACACTGCCACTGCATACTGGACTCTTAGAACACATTTAAGGATAAATTAGAACTAAATAGCAGCATGGAACACTGAGAGCCAGGACTGGTGGCTGTAAACAAACTTTATGGAACTGTGGGAAAGTTGGCCACATCCATAATAAGTGGATATCTGGCTAACTAAAATCATGATGGGCCACAGATGTTGCTGGACCAGAAAGTACCAGATTAGAGGTTCAACCTGTACTTCCTTACCTCACTGTAGTATGGCACACACACTTGGTATGGTAGCCATTAAAACAACTAAGACAGAAAAGAAAGAGACCATTAAGATGCTTCAGGATTCCCATCAATATCAGGAAAGGGTATGACTGGAAAGGGATCTAGTGATCAAAATGAAATTAAGAACCTTACTTCCACGCTAATATCCAATACAAAAAGCTATAAATGTTGTTGTGGGTATTTTAGCCTTCTTCAAACTGCAAATCAGTTTATCAGAAAAGTGGCTACAATGATGTGTAAAATTAGAACATGTTAGGGCTGTTATGCATCTGTGGCTTTGGGGAGAAATATTTGTTCCCCCCCATCTTTTGTCCTGGGTTGTAAATAGAGAGTAATGAAAATAATCCATGCTTGGTCTTAAACGAGTACATAATAGGCAGGTGAAATTATCTTCCTTTCAGTCCCTCCACTTTATTGCAGTTAGCTTAGAGACAGTTTCTGTGTGTTAGCTCTCAGCCATCTCACTGACAAAACTTACTTTCTAAAAACATCACTTCTGCTCCAGCTCTGAACTGAGGACCCTAACATTGATACCAGACCATTCATATTTTAGTACATGTTACTCCAGTCCTCCACTTGTCAACATTTCAGGGCTGTCTCACTCAATCATCTGTCTGCTGCTATCACTCTTTGTCAAACATCACTAAAAATTAGTCAAAAAATGTTATTGCATTTTAACACATTGGGTGACTAACTTGGCAACAATGTAATGTGGAGTGGATTCCAGTGTGCTGTATCCTAGTGAAAAGTTCTCATATACTGTGTAGCATTCACAGTATATCATTACTTTGAAAATCACTTCTTCGCTGTTGCTATCCCTTATTCCCCAAACACTTTATAACAAGTGCTTGTGTACTAAGAGTGAGCTTTTGCTATTCCAAATCTGTCTTTACTACTTTGCCAAACTACATTTTATATGCACTCTCTTCAAATTTGTGTATGCTTTAGATATTTTTTCAGCAAAGTGTTTACTTCTCTGTGCTACATGTTGATACGGCTATAATAAAACACATGTTTTATTTAGCTCTGTTTAATTAAAATGATAATAGTGTAAAAGTGCGTTGGCACTTCAAGGTCCCTTGACAAAAGAATCCTTGTCTTGTTGCTAAGGTACAATCGTGCCCACTCTAGGGGACACATCTCCTGTGAATCCTTTTTACATTTAACCATAC